TTTATATGTTTCTGCTTTTAATTCTAATTATGTCAGTGTCGGTCCTCCATACTGCAGAACATGAAGAGGTAGTTCAGTGACTGAATCAGGTGTGTTGGAGCAGGAAACATGTAAAACATGTAGGGCTGCGGCCCTCCAGGACCAGGATTGCCCACCTCTGGTCTGGAGGGAGAAGGGCAGGTGCTCGAGCACCACCTGACGTCTATCTGTGCACGTCCCTGGACCAAACGTCTGCAGAGAGTGAAAACTGCTGAGAAGATCACAGGGGCTTCACTGCCCTCTCTGCAGAGCATCTACCACTGCAGGGTCCACAGGAGAGGAGCCTCAACCATTAAAGACCCAACACAGCCCCAGCATGGACTGTTCACATCTCTGGTTAGCAGTGTCAAATGCAGAACCTCCAGATTTAATAACTCATTTTCCCCAAGTGCCATCAGACTTCTAAACAGCTGAATGTGACTATTAATCCCACACGTGCACGTCAGACTGTTACCTGTTACAGATCTGACGAGGGTAATCCGTGATGAAATCCAGCACGATCTGGGACCAAGGGCGAGTCAGGGTAGGCAGAGGTTGGAGGAGTCCAGCAGGGGGTTGGTTTCAGCTTTACTATCGGCACAAACAAGGCAGGCTGCAAGAAACCCCTTCATATCATTATTCATTAAAGGCCACAAAAAGCATGTCTTGGAGAAAGAGAGCATACGATTGGTACCAGCAGGCCTGTCCAGGATTTAGCCTCTTGGCATTTTGATTGTAAAAGAGGTTCTTTGTGTTTGTATTATACGTTGTAATGCTTTTACTGTGATTATTTTCCTGTTTTCTTTGTATTTACTCCTTCTGTTCAACATCAGTTCTACAGATAAAAAAAAAACTTACTTTATTTTCTCATTTTTCGAGCAGTAACACATATTTTACAATTTTAGGATGGATTATATGACATACCTAAATTTCTCAATTTTCCAAGAGTATGTATTTACCTGGTGCACTACCATTTGTCTAGGAAAAATTGCAACACGATTCAACAAATACAGTCATAATGTGACAAAAGCAGACGAAAATCCTGCATGTTATTTTCAGCAGTAAATGTAAATATATGACATCATAAATTTTGAAATCAGGTCAAAGTTACTTAAAAACAAGAGAGCTGCAGCTGTTTTAACAAGTTCATTTCTATTGTTTTAGGGCAAATTATGTCATTTTATTGCGGGGGGTTATATTGACTGGATCAAATTATTATTGTGGGGTGGAGTCATAAGCC